AGTATATAGTTACCACATATAGCTAGATAGATAGTTGTTAGATAGATAGGTGATGATAGATAGATAGATAGATAGATAGATAGATGATAGATAGATAGATTGATGATAGAAGATAAATTCTTTGAGAATTTCTTACAATGTGTTTTGATAATATTCACCTACAACTTCTCTTCCTGTCTTCTTCAAATTCTGGACCCCACTTTCATAGCTCCACCCAACTTCACGTCTTCCTTTTTTAAGTAATGCCTATCTCCAATATGTGGTAACTATATACTTCTAAGTGTGGGATGTCCACGAGGGTGTGGTCATCCTACCAGGAGTCACATCTTTAAAAACTGAGTCTACCCAAGAAATCATTAACTGTTCATGCTCCTCAGTTAGGGGCTGAAGCTCATTAACTCCTTCCCATGCAATGCTAGAAGGCAGACTAACTTGATCTTGTACATTTTTTTTTTGTGCAGGGAACCACAGCTACTGTGAATTCATGAGGTCAGAAGGCCTGTCATATCCACAAGACACTGTTTCACTTCAGTCCTACCCAAACTCTGTATCTGCTTTTCCTTAATATTTTTATAGCTTTATTCTTTATAAAAAGGTTTGGCTAGAATTTATAAGATTCAGAGAGGTCTTAAGAAATGTAAATAGCTGGAAACCTTGGAATTGTTAGTAACCTTAATAACTGAGACACTAAAAAATAGTGAAGAATAAAACCTTTGAATTAATAGTCTAAAGTAATCTCTGTGCTATTGGAATTCATTCTCCTTGAATGTGCTTCTAAAATTCCTTTACTGGTTTCTGTTTATGAGGTATGAATGAAAGTTGAGCAACATACCTTGCTTATCAAGTATTGAGATGTTAATATGAAATGTCTTTAGTTTTTAAACTATTTTTAGATATTACTATGTTTTTCATTTTTCAGAAAAAGAATCTGAGGCTTGTCAAGCTTAAATACTTTGAACAAGATACAAAAAACTACTGAAGAATAAAACTCCCATTTAGATATTCAGGCTCTGATTTCCCACCGTCTCTGACCTGCTATCTCTCTAGAGCGGGGATGATAAGGTTGGATGATTTACAGATGCAGAATCTGGTATTTTCTCATATGGCTAGATAAAAGGGAGATGTATGCAGAAGAAATCTCATTTATTCAAGACAGTAGTTTTTCATCAGATAACTGGTAGATAGTAGAATAATATCCAATTTTAAAGGTTTTTATATATCCTCTATTTCCTTAATGATTAATATATTTGTATGACAGATACATCATTGTGGTATCTGTCTCTTCTCCATCTTCCTGCTTTATTACTTGTCCCCTGATCAATATGCTCTCTATATATACACTGCATTTAGTTGATCCAAAAGTACAATGGTTATTTGTTTGGAAAAGTATGAAGCAGTTGAAGCATGATTTGATTCTTTATTGTTTAGGTTTCAGTGCCAGTGCATCTCATCAGAGGAACATTCTTGATGATTCTCATCTAAAATAATAGCTGTACCGTGAAACTATCTATATTCAAAAGTTGAAAGCAACAGCCAGCCATTTATGGATCTATTGTGAGAACATGTGGGTTTGCAGGGATTCAGCTCTGCTTTTTGGGTTTATATGTCACTGTGCATTTCCACTGGCTTGTTTTCTCTCCAGAAGGCTTATCTATAGTGGAATTTTCCATGGAAATTTAATGAGAGCCAGTCTTCACCAGAAGGGTAGCTTGCCATGTTCCATGGAAATGTTAGGAAAGCAACCAAGGATTTATAGTTTCTAGATAATTTTCTGTATTAAAGTCCAGTGACAAAAACACGTTTGAGGATCTGCAAGAACTTAATCAGAATAAAGATAATAAACATTCTCTTCATGGGAAAAGCTGCAAGACTCAGGTCCAAAAATGTAGAAATAACCGGAAGGGAAAGGATGTTTTATAAAGGTTTATTTCTTAAAATTGTCTGTATATGTGGGGGCGGGGGGGTACGTTCATGTGAATGTGGATATCCATGGAGGCCAGCATATGTGTGTGTGTGTGTGTGTGTGTGTGTATGTTCATGTGACTGTGGCTATCCATGGAGGCCAGTATGTGTGTGTGTGTGTGTGTGTGTATGTGTGCGGGTGTGGGTGTGTTCATGTGAACGTGGATATCCATGGAGGCCAGTATATGCGTGTGTGTGTTCATGTGAACATGGATATCCATAGAGGCCAGTATATGGGTGTGTGTGTGGGGGGGGTGTTCATGTGAACGTGGATATCCATGGAGGCCAGTATATATGTGTGTGTGGGGGTGTGGGTATGTTCATGTGAACGTGGATATTCATGGAGGCCAGTATATGTGTGTGTGTGTGTGTGTGTGTGTGTGTGTGCGGGTGTGGGTGTGTTCATGTGAACGTGGATATCCATGGAGGCGAGTATATATATGTGTGTGTGTGTGTGTACGTGTGCTGGTGTGGGTGTGTTCATGTGAACGTGGATATCCATGGAGGCGAGTATATATATGTGTGTGTGTGTGTGTACGTGTGCTGGTGTGGGTGTGTTCATGTGAACGTGGATATCCATGGAGGCGAGTATATATATGTGTGTGTGTGTGTGTACGTGTGCTGGTGTGGGTGTGTTCATGTGAACGTGGATATCCATGGAGGCGAGTATATATATGTGTGTGTGTGTGTGTACGTGTGCTGGTGTGGGTGTGTTCATGTGAACGTGGATATCCATGGAGGCGAGTATATATATGTGTGTGTGTGTGTGTACGTGTGCTGGTGTGGGTGTGTTCATGTGAACGTGGATATCCATGGAGGCCAGTATATATGTATGTGTGTGTGTGTGCGCGCGCAGATATGTTCATGTGAACGTGGATATGCGCAGGTATGTTCATGTGAACGTGGATATCCATGGAGGCCAGTATATATGTGTGTGTGTATGTGTGCGGGTGTGGGTATGTTCATGTGAACATGGATATCCATGGAGGCCAGTATATATGTATGTGTGTGTGTGTGTGTGCGGGTGTGTTCATGTGAACATGGATATCCATGGAGGCCAGTATATGTGTGTGGGGGGGGTATGTTCATGTGAACGTGGATATCCATGGAGGCCATACGATGATGCTGGATGCCCTGGAGCTTGAGTCGCAGATGATTGTGAGAAACCTGGTGTGGCTCCATGGAACAGAACCTGAGTTCTCTATAAAGAACAGCCAAGGTATTTAACCTATGACCCTTCTTTCCTGATCAAGGAAAGGATGTTTGAGAAGCAAGTGAACAGTGTAGATTTCTGTATTCTCATTTTCCTCTCTTAATTGTTTTCTCAACAATAACCTATCTAAGTGATATTACACATAGATACACAGAGAAGTATTCTTTCTTTGACAACCAGTCTTTTGTCTTAATTATTAAATCAGTGCAGAGAATCTGTGCTTGCTGCTTACTATAAGGCCACTAAAATTTATATTATGAAATGATTAAATTAATTCTTATAGACATATGAAGGTAGCAATCCTAAAACAAATAGGATTAAACATATCTGGTTATTCATGTTCTTAAAATATTCCACAATAAGCTGGAGAAAAAAAATTAGAGAATTATGAACTGAGGTGGTGCAAATACATGTTTTGGTAATGAAATTCCCAAGGCTTCATTTCTTTCATTCAGTGTTGGTTTATAGTATATAAAAATGTCATTTTTAGTTTAGAGAGGCCAAATGTTTTTTCCAAAGCTCCCACAGCTAACCCAGCAAGATTAGGATATATATATATCTTCCAAATTTTAACTAGTTGACACTTTCTTTGAAGAGCTATTTTGTATTTGAAGAGATTCAGAAAAATGATAGGATACTAAAAATATGGGATTAAAACTCAAAAATGCAAACACTGAGTACTAATATATTAATCTTGGATTGACATAAAAACTACCACAGACTAGAAGGTGTAGATGACACATATTTACTCAGAGCTCACAATGATACAAATTCCAGATTCAGGTTCTTCCAAATTTGAATCCTAGTGAGTACACTTCTTGATCTCATGATAGCACCTTCTTTCTGTGTGCTCACATGACCGTTTTATTTTGAGAGGGCAGATTGATGAAGGAAGAGAGGAAAGAGGGAGGGAAGAAGGAAGGAGGGATCAAGAGAGGGAAGAAGACAGAGAAGCTTTAACTATCAGGAGAACATGGATTCCAGGGGAAATGAGAGCTCCTTTGATGAGGTTATTTAAACCTAATTACATCACTTACCATTCTTTCATAAAATAAAGTCACATGGAGGGTTCAGTTTCAACATAGGAAATCATGGATATGCAGTTCAGTGCCTAACAACTAGAAAAAATCACCACTGAAAGGATACACAATTATAGTGAAGGATTTAAGTTAGATCTTTGTAAACAACATATTTTGGAGGTTTTGTTTGTTTGAGTATTTTGGGGGGCATGGGGGGGGTCTTTCCTTTTTTTTGAGACAGGGTTTCCCTATAGCCTCAGCTGGCCTGGAATTCACTATGTAGACCAGGCTGACCCCAAACTCACAGAGATCCACAACCCTTTGCCTCCCAAGTGCTGGGATTAAAGGCATGCACCACCACACCTGGCCCAAAAACCATATTTTGGATCAGTGAGACCTCAGTCTATATTCAATCAGATGACACACATATACATACAGTTGTCTGTATTCACATCAAATGATCATGTAGAATTATCTTCTTGAGTCAAAATATAAAATAAACTGGCAGGATATACGTATTTTTATTGTTCTGCCTTATTCTTTGGCAATGACGGATAGATATATAGAGTATGAGATTGCAGAGTTCACTGAAAAATATGCCATTTTTTTCTCTTACAGGCCCAACAGCTTACTGAACTGGAACAAAAGTTAGCTGTAGCCAAAAATGAACTTGAGAAAGCAGCTCTTGACCGGGTAAGTTCAAGTTCAGGAACTGTCACAAATTTGATTTCTGCAAAACACACTGGTGTGTGGCCATTGCTGCCTGCGATTTATCAGTGCAGTTCTAGATGCTCAGCACATAAACTTGCTAGAAAATTCATGAATATTTGATATTCTCCTCAGACTCCAAATTTTCCTTGTTTTTACTACTACAGTAAAGTGAAAGCTCAGTTTCTGTGAGTTCATGAGTTCATTATTTTTAACCCTATTGGTACATTTGTTCTGTAACACCACCAATAAACATACTTAAGTTCAAACTACAATGTCATGTCTTAACTCTGGAAGAAGGGGCAATGAATCAAGTGAATGAAATCCTTAACAACAACATGTTAAAAATGAGTTTAAATGTGTGTGTCTTAGAACTGTTTATGTTTTTGAACTTAAAAATATGCATAAGGACATTGTATGTAGCTCTAATTGTGTCAAATTATACAGTTTTATTCAGTTCATACATTTTATAAAGTCATAGCTTGGAACACTGGTTGTACTGAATAGCTTCATTTGTCAACTTTACACATGTGAGAAGAGGGAACTTCAGCTGAGGGTTTTCCCCATAGGATGGGCTGATGGCCATGCCTATGAGGCATTTTCTTACTCTCATTGATATGGGAGGGCCTACCCTATTGTGGGCAGTGCTAGCACTGGGCAGGTGGCTGTAGGTTGTATAAGAAAGCAGGCTGAGCACAGGTCAGAAGAGCAAGCCAGTAAGCAGTTCCTCCATTGTCTCTGCTTTAGCTTCTGCTTCCAGATCCTTTCCTTAAGTTTCCACCCTAGCTTTCTTCAATGATGAACTGTGATTGGGATGTGTAAGCTAAATAAACCTTTTGTTCTACAAGTTGGTTTTGGTCAGGGTCTTTCATCACAGCTACAGGGACACAAAGTAGAGCATTAGTCAAAATGTAAAATTTATTAATAATATCTATTTGTATCATTGCTATATTATAGAATAATTTGTAAAGAATTCAGAATTGTAACTCTATTTGATCATATATTTTTGCTGTTTGAGAATTTCATGTGTATAATCTGTTTTAATAAAATCTATCCCTTCCCTTCCCTTCAGCTCTTCCCATATCCCCACCACTGCTTTTCCCTTGTTATAGGCTCTGTTTTCAAACTCACTGAGTCCACTTACTGCCTCCAGTACATGCATGGGTATAAGGCCATCTTCTAGAGCAGGAACAGCCTACTAGGGCTGTTTCCCTGAAGAAAACTGACTTATTCAAACATGAGACATTAATAAAAATATGTATACCAATACAATAAATAAAAGGATAGATATCAAATTTTTGGATGAATTTGTTTTGAAATATAGTAAAGAAATTTGGAGACAGAACTTGTCTGTGCCTGGTATTTTAGCCTCCAATACTGTGCAGTTGCAAAGGAACAGTCTTTGCTACCACTGCATATGCATATGTTGCATGTATAATACCATGCAATATATATGTAGCTATATACTTTAGGCTATGTTACCTGCATATTTATATTATTATACATATCTGTGCTCTTTAAAAGATTTTATTTTTTATGTGTATGAGTATATTGCCTGCCTGTATGTGAGTGCACCCGTGTCATGCAATGTCAGGGAGGTCCAAAGAGGACGTCAGATTCTCGTTAAACTGGAGTTAAGGATGGTTCGTGGCAGCCATATGGGTGCTGGAAATCAAACACGGGTCCTCTGCAAGAGCAGTCAGTGCTCATAACTGCTGAGCCATCTCTCCAGCCCCATATTTGTGCTTTACATTTCTCTCTATATATAAAATCAATGCATAATATGTTTATATAAATATCTGCTGTAGATCAGTTACATAGCTAAGAAGACACCTTTAAACATTCAGACTACTGATAACTTAGTATGTGCTGTTTCCTGAATGACCCTATAGTTCTCAAAATCATCTTGGTGAAACTGAAGAAATTGTTCTTTCTGCTGTCGAGTTTTATTTTGATTTAAAAGCTTTTTTATTTTTATTTTATGTGTATGAGGCTTTTGCCTGCATGTATATAAGTGTACCGCTTGTGTGCAGCGCCCAAACAGGTCAGAAGAGCACATCATATCTCTGGAACTGGAGATACAGATAATTGTTTGCTGTCATGTTGGTGCTTGGAGGTGAACCCAGGTCTTTTGCAAGAGTATCCAGTGCTGTTAACTACTGAGCCATTTCTCTAGTCCTAATTTCAAGAGCTTTCTATGGTTTTCATCACAGTTTGGCAACCATTTCATTGAGAAAATTGAGCAAGTGAAACCAGTGCATTTGGAGACTTATTTACAATGATGTACTATACATACTCTGAAATTTTCTAAGAAAAGCAGTTTGGGATATGGGAAGATGGTGCAGCAGTTAAGAGCACTGGCTGCTCTTGCAGAGGACTCAAGTTCCATTCCTAGCACCCACATGGTAGCTAATACTGTCCATAGCCCCAGTTCTAAGGGATAAAGCACCTTTTTCTGATCTTTGTGGGCAATGCAGGACCTGGGTCCACTTACATACATGCAGCCAATACACTCATACACATAAAATTTAAAAAAAAATCCTGAAAAAAGAGGTTATAACCAATTTGGACTCTGGGTGCTTTGCTATGGAACACACAGGAGAGAGACTCTGTAGGAGAAGTTCTCTCTGAAGAGCTTCAGGCGCTCCATTTTGGGTCACCTGATAGTGTATGATAGATTTGAATATGAGACTAAAATTCTATAGCTCAGGGATAAGATTGTCTCTCATAGGAGGCATATTTTTTGCCTTTTTATGACAAAAATATCTGACATTTGGGTTATATCAGACAGCATATGTAGACTGTGTAATAGTGGAGAAATTAGGAGGGAGATATGATTGTTAATGATATTCTTTTGTAAGATTTAGAACTCTGAGAAAAATTATTTGAATGAATAAGCTATCTAATTTTCTTAGTCCTTTGTGATTGCCATTGATTAAATTAATTCATCCTACTTATTAATATTCAATATTTGAGGGAGTCTAACTGCTGTTATTAGGTTAAATCAAGCATAATCCATTTCACCAGACTTAGTCATACATTTTTTAAAATTGGTAAGGATGGATTTTTGCCAATGACATTCATGCCTATGATACACAAACCGAGCTATATCATGTTTTATAAAGGACAAGGCATCATTGTAGAGTTGGTGGAATGAGAAGACTAGAGCCACATATAATCCTCAAGTTCACATGGACCACCTTTAAAAACATCATTGTCTTTTCCTGTCACCATCTATTCAAGTGCATTGCATCCTAAGAAAATATGGCACCCCACTCTCCTCAGGCAACCTCAAATCCTCCAAGACTTTATCATCTCTGACAATTGGAACATTATTTACAGTCCCTGATTTTACGTTATATAATATTATTAGTAAATCAATACCTATATATAGATTTAACATGGCTTTTGTGAGATACTCTTATGCTAGGTATTAAAGAATTCAGAGAACTCATGAGACATGGGTTGGCTCAGATATCAAACATAATGAAGTAATCAGAATATAATACTTTAGTGGTTCATGTGTCAAAGGAATAATAGAAGATGAATTTATGCATTGCAAGTACATTTAAAAGATCATACAAAATGGTAGAGTTGTGACATGTTCTATTGAAAAGTTATAAATAAGTGCATTCCACAGCACTCAGGGCTACTACAGATATGTTCCTTCAGTTCTGTGTACTCTTCCCTCCTCCCTCCTCTTTCCTCCCCCAAGCACCATTGTGCACTGAGCCCACACCATCTCACAACTTGGATTAGGATGGGAGCCTGAGCGATGCTATGGGTGAGTAATGGTCTGTAGGGTCAGTACTCCTGTTTGAAAACCATCGCTTTTGTCAAATGACCATGTTCAAATATCCTCAGCTCTATATTTCTCAAAGATCAATCATACAGTTATCTCTTAAGGATTATGGGAAAATTATATCTATCAAATTCTATACTGAAAGCAATAATACCACATGTCACACAGCAAGCATAGCTGTTCTTGTTACTAGTGAATGGGATTAGATTGCCTTTCTTTGATGAGCACTTTGTTTCAACCTATAGAATTCTGTCACTTCTCTTATGGTACAAAGAATTATAAAAGCATTTTGTGTTAGTAGAGGTTTATTTAAACAGATCACAAGCAAGATACATGTGATGCTTATGAACTGCAGCCCTGAAGTCAGGTAGAAAGTCTAACCCAGCTCAAACTGAATAAAAACCGCAGTTAAGTGAAATTGGTCTTTGCCTCTCTCATCACCTTTTTCTGAGACATTTTTATGCCCTTCACATGTCTACCTCCTAGTCCGGACTCTAGGGACCATTACTCACCAATAGTTGGTAGTAGCTTCCAGGATCCCATCCTAATCCAAGCTGTGAGATGGTGTGGGCTAAGCACATGGTGCATGGCGTTTTTATACCCTTCATATGTCTAACTCCTAGAATCTTGTATCTCAGCTTTAAATGATCTTAAATATCTCATAAGTGCTGTGAAAACATCTTCACACTCCACATTTGTCTCCATGATATATCTAATGGTGCTTCAGTTTACTGCCCCAATAAACAACAATCTCAAGATGTGTGAGTCAATGCTGAGTTTCCAGACAATAAATTATTTGCTCAGCAGTAACATAGGAATTACAGACAGCCTCATCAACTCAAAAAATATGCCTTTAAGATATGGAAATCTCTGAAATTATCACATTAAAAAGTTTCAACAGCATTTGACTTTCAAATTTTTTTATTTTAATAGGGTTTTTAACCATGAAAGCAGGTGGTATTAAATGACAGAAGTAAAGGAACTTATACAAATTTCCAGGCTCAAGTAATGACAGAATAATCACACATTCTGCCCCTTACAGTGTGAGTAGCAACATTAGAACGCTATTTCTTGAACACGTAAAGAATGCCTTGTTTAGTAAATGAAAGCACGGTGCTGGTGGGGTCTTGGTGCTCTAGAAGAGGAATACAGATATTTTTACAAAGTTCGAGGTTCAAGGGCT